GTGACATCAACTTGTCAAAGGGGGCCTACTTTTACGGGGAAAAAATTTTCCCTCTTTCCTACATACTCTAACTTAAAGCCTCACTATCCTCGTAAAAACTCTTCACTGCTTTCAGTAACCTACCTCCTACCCCAAATACACTTGCAACATCTGCCACATTGCCCCCCTATCCACCCTGTCATATGCCTTTTCCAAATCCATAAATGCCACAAAGACCTCTTTAGCCTTATCTAAATACTGTTCACTTATATGTTTCACTGTAAACACCTGGTCCACACACCCCCTAACCTTTCCTAAAGCCTCCTTGTTCATCTGCTATCCTATTCTCCATTTTACTCTTAATTCTTTCAATTATAACTCTACCATACACTTTACCAGGTATACTCAACAGACTTATCCCCCTATAATTTTTGCACTCTCTTTTATCCCCTTTGCCTTTATACAAAGGAACTATGCATGCTCTCTGCCAATCCCTAGGTACCTTACCCTCTTCCATACATTTATTAAATAATTGCACCAACCACTCCAAAACTATATCCCCACCTGTTTTTAAACATTTCTATCTTTATCCCATCAATCCCGGCTGCCTTACCCCCTTTCATTTTACCTACTGCCTCACAAACTTCCCCCACACTCACAACTGGCTCTTCCTCACTCCTACAAGATGTTATTCCTCCTTGCCCTATACACGAAATCACAGCTTCCCTATCTTCATCAACATTTAACAATTCCTCAAAATATTCCCTCCATCTTCCCAATACCTCTAACTCTCCATTTAATAACTCTCCTCTCCTTTTTTTTAACTGACAAATCCATTTGTTCTCTAGCTTTCTTAACTTGTTAATCTCACTCCAAAACTTTTTCTTATTTTCAACAAAATTTGTTGATAACATCTCACCCACTCTCTCATTTGCTCTCTTTTTACATTGCTTCACCACTCTCTTAACCTCTCTCTTTTTCTCCATATACTCTTCCCTCCTTGCATCACTTCTACTTTGTAAAAACTTCTCATATGCTAACTTTTTATCCCTTACTACTCTCTTTACATCATCATTCCACGAATTGCTCCTCTTCCCTCCTGCACCCACTTTCCTGTAACCACAAACTTCTGCTGAAACACTCTAACACTACATTTTTAAACCTACCCCATACCTCTTCGACCCCATTGCCTATGCTCTCATTAGCCCATTTTATCCTTCAATAGCTGTTTATATCTTACCCTAACTGCCTCCTCTTTTAGTTTATAAACCTTCACCTCTCTCTTCCCTGATGCTTCTATTCTCCTTGTATCCCATCTACCTTTTACTCTCAGTGTAGCTACAACTAGAAAGTGATCTGATATATCTGTGGCCCCTCTATAAACATGTACATCCTGAAGTCTACTCAACAGTCTTTTATCTACCAATACATAATCCAACAAACTACTGTCATTTTGCCCTACATCATATCTTGTATACTTATTTATCCTCTTTTTCTTAAAATATGTATTACCTATAACTAAACCCCTTTCTATACAAAGTTCAATCAAAGGGCTCCCATTATCATTTACACCTGGCACCCCAAACTTACCTACCACACCCTCTCTAAAAGTTTCTCCTACTTTAGCATTCAGGTCCCCTACCACAATTACACTCTTACTTGGTTCAAAGGCTCCTATACATTCACTTAACATCTCCCAAAATCTCTCTCTCTCCTCTGCATTCCTCTCTTCTCCAGGTGCATACACGCTTATTATGACCCACTTCTCGCATCCAACCTTTACTTTAATCCACATACAAATGCACTTACATAAATACACTTACATAATTGGTCGCATTGGGAGCTGATCATAAACCGGGGGTCCACTGTAAAGTGATTGGAAATTGGTAATTTGGCCAATTTAGTGCAAAGTTCAAAATATTCCAATTTCAAAATAGGGTCCAGAATAAACAATGCAGGCATTCCTGGCACTAAGCTAACATTTCCTCTGTTCATTAGTTTCATTTTCAGGCTTTACAAATGAATTCCAATTTGATTTTTAATTCACATAATGAATTTTTATTCAGACCAAAAAATGGAAGATTTACTGTCATGCAATATTGTAATAATTGTATAAATAATATCAGCACTTTTGTGAACGTATATTAGACCACCAACTGGCGTGTATTAGACTTGTGAGGTCATTTGTTTACTTTTGAACATCAGCAAAAATTTAACATTTCCGCTACTTGGAGCTCAGTTTCAAGCCATTTTCTGTACTAAAACCATTCAAAATCATCTCTATTTCTGTAATATATCTTCCATTCTATCAAATGAGACCAAGAAATTGCAAATACAGTGGACCCCCGGATAACGATATTTTTTCATTCCAGAAGTATGTTCAGGTGCCAGTACTGACCGAATTTGTTCCCATAAGGAATATTGTGAAGTAGATTAGTCCATTTCAGACCCCCAAACATACACGTACAAACGCACTTACATAAATACACTTACATAACTGGTCGCATTGGGAGGTGATCGTTAAGCGGGGGTCCACTGTACAACTATATAAAACATAACGAAAAAACACTGCTAAGTTGCTATTTAATCGAAAATTATAGTCTCAGTTTGTTTTCTCTCATGCACTGTGTGTTGCAGGATTTGTTTTATGTGGTGCACACATACCACATAGATGTATTCTCTCATATCTAGGCCCAAATCCTCTTCAAGGGGGGCTCCTTGGCGTGGTGAAGAGGCTCTTTGTCTGAGGAATTAGACCTGTTGGTCTCCTTCCTCAGACCGAACCTAATTACCCCCCAATCCCCCCTCCCTTATCCCATCCTCCCTTTTTCTTTTCCTCCTCCTCCTCCCCACCCCTCCCTATTACCCTTCCTCTTTTTTGGCCTTTTTTTTTTTTTTTCCCCACAGGCACGCTAGTTCCTGGGTAGGGGAAAGGGTACTGGGGTCCATCCCATTCCGTTGAGGTTCTTGGCGGTGGTGTAGTTTGCCATGGAATCTGGATCGCCTGGGGAAGTCCCAATCCCTCTCCGGTCTCCCGGGGAGTGGCTTTGGGTATCTTTCGGGCGACGGGTGTATCTCTGGAGGCTGCCTTTCAGATTCCGGGGGTGGTGGCCAAAGGAGGTATGCTTTGTGGCGGATATCCGGCCGCCCTCTCTTTTGTCCACCGAGGTAGCTCGGCAGATGTAAGGTTGCTATCCCGGATTGCTGGTTTACTGGCATGATGGGTAGGGTATGGCACGGGTTCCATGCTACATCTGCACTACTTGCGGTGCTGAGGTCCTCTTTGGCGCGGAGGGAGATTTCTGGCCCTCTCATTTCTGCCAGGGACTATCCCTCCCCAGTCCCCCCTTTTTTTTATTCTTTTTTTTTTTTTTTTTTTTTTTATTTTCTTCTTTCTTTTTTTTCTTAAAAACAAAAAGAAAGAAGTAACCTAACCATGGCAGCCCTAGTCCTTGAACCTGCTACCCCGGGCACCTTCTTGATACCGCACCCCGTTCTGACCCCGCCTCGTCTTTGGACCACTCTTCGGACACTCCTCATGCCTCTGTACCTCTTGCTGGTGCTGTTTCTTCACCCGCTTCAGGTACTGAGGTCTCGACTGACTCCTTCGATTTATCTGACCTCCGCTCTCCTTTGACTATGCTTCCGGCCTCTCCCTCTACGGTGCGGCAATTTTTAAATCGCCGGCCCGTTCCACGTCGGACCAACTCTGGTCCCACTCCTAAACGCCAATGACAATTACCTGCTGATGATACTTCTCCACCTTCTCGTTCTTCTCAGAAAAGATCGACACATCCTGCACTCCCTTTCCACGCTCAGTTTCAGAATGCACAATGGACTAAATTCTTCACTTTTTGTGTATTGCCTATCTTTCTGACCAACTTCCTCTATTGCCTATCTTTCCGACCATAGTATTGGCAAGGCACTCCTACGCCATGTTGGTAAAGATATTTCTTTTCATGCTCTTAAGAGCAGTACACGCATCATCACTGTACAGAATGCTACCCAAGCTCATGATCTTTCTCTTCTTTCCCATATCAATACTGTTCCTGTCACTATTGAAAAACATCATTCCCTCAATTCTTGTAGTGGTACTGTCATTCTGCCCCATACCATAGTTTAACAAAATTTCCAGACATGTGGCAATGACATTCTGGAACAGCTGGAACTCCAAGATCTCCCAATCCTCAAGGTAGACACTTATGTTCTTCCTGCCCGCAGGCGGAGACGATACCCTAGCAATGTGGCTTGTTTAACTTTTGACAGCCGTGAACTCCCATCCTCAGTTTATGTAGCAGGACATCGGTTACAAGTTCGAAAGGTGATCCCTACACCACAACAGTGTAGAAATTGCTGGCGATTTGGCCATCCAGCGAAATATTGCAGATCTATAGCTGAATGCCCAGTCTGTGGTGCCGATGACCATTCTAATATGTCTTGCAATCGACCTCCCTCTTGCCTTAATTGTCATGAGGCTCACCCCTCATACTCTTGCATGTTCACACTTCTTCTTCTTCTGTTGGGTTTCAGGGCCACTGACAGCATACGCCGTATCAAGCCTGGCCGTCCAGTGCTAGGAGAGGGGATATCGACCAAAGTGGAAGAACGTCTTGACTAATAACTATGTATCATATGTCTCTGATACGCCCTGAAGCCAGCAGGAAGGAGCAGGAACAGGCCAATATCTCCTGATAGTCCAGAGGGCGAAACCCCTCTCCATTGAGGAGGACAGGTAGAGTGAAAGTGTGCACCCCAAGCGTGCGCAAGGCCACACGGAGAGTAGTCTGTGCAAAGTGATAATGTGGGCACCACAGCAGGAAGTGTTCCACCGTCTCAGGCTGTGAGGGACACCACGGGCAGTACGGAGAGTCCATCATCTGAAGGCGGTACAGATGAGCCACCAGTCGCGAGTGCCTGACTCGAAGGCGATTCAGTGCAACGTCCACTAAGCGGTTGGGATGGTGAGCCCAAGGGCAGGGGCCATTAAAAGTTCGGACAGAGCCCAACCCCGAAGAAGAGAGGGAGTGTGCAAGGCCCTCTTGCCACTGATGACGGATTCCCTTCCAAACAGCCCTTGTGAAATCACTGTGGCCCAGGGCAAGAGGGGTAACAGTAGGAAGTGTGTGCGTGAGGGAGGCCGCCCGATCTGCCACTTCATTGCCCCAGATTCCAACATGGGCAGGTACCCACTGAAGGGAGATGCTCCAACCTGGGCTCCGCAAGCAGTGCAGGAGGAGAGATTGTGTCCGACGAACGAGGATGCTCAGTGATCGTGGATGGGCAGAGCACAAAAGTGCCAAGGATTTTGGGAATCAGAGAAGAAACCAATGATTGTGGAGGAATGTGATCTAGGACAAAAGCCAGAGCCTGGTGAATGGCAAAGAGCTCCCCTGCCAGAACAGAATGAGCAGGGTCCAACTGCCACATTTGACACAGGGAAAGATTAGCGAAGAAGGCCGCAGATGATGTAGAAGGGGGGGAGGACCATGCCGAGCCATCCGTGTAGACGGAGAATGAAGAGCCATATGTAACAGAGCGAAACTCTTCAAATAGAAATGCAGCTAACTGAGGGGGTTCCCTGTTCCTATAGTGCCAATCTAGGTGAATGTATCGTGTCAGGTCCAGCCAGGGGGGTGCCGGAGAGTGGAGAGGGGAGGGAGTTATCACAAGTGCAGGAAGTGTAAGGCAGGTCAGGGAACGCTGGGCCCTGGCTACAAAGGAAGGCTGAACCAAACGTGGGGGGACAGAGGCTGTCTCCCACATCTGTGAAGAGAGGTGACAGGGGTGAGTACAAGGCAGAGAGGCCATATGATGGAATCGTAAACAGTTCCTGACTGTCCTCACCGACGAGAGAGGGACTATCCCCGACTCTGCCTCCAAGGCTGCGATAGGGGTGGAGGGGAATGCCCCCAGCATATTATGGATGGCTGAATTCTGGGGCATGTCCAAGCGATGAAGAGAGGAGGAAGAAGCCGAGCCATACATCTCACTCACATAAGTGAGCTTGCTGCGAACCATAGCTGTATAGAACTTATAGAGAAGGTCTCGATCCGCCCCCCACTTGGTGCCAGAGATCCGGCGCATAAGTGCAATGCGACGTGCACACTGTACTTATGCGCTGGATCTCTGGCACCAAGTGAGTTCTATACATTAACCCTTTCATGGTTTCCGATGTACTAGTACGGCTTGCGCACCAGGGGTATTGACGTAGTAGTACGCCTAAATTCTAGCGCCTTCAGATCTAGTGAGAGAAAACTGGTAGGCCTACATATAAACTCATGTCATTATCATACTTTACTGTACATATGCTGATCTCGTGTATTAAATTTTACCTTTTATTTTTGAATGCTTGATAAGAGATGCAAGTACTCTGAATATTTCTTACAACTACAGTCATATAATGCAGTAAATGCTATGAGACAAATTCTGTCCCTGTTATCAAGTATGTATATACAGTGGTACCTCGAGTTTTGAACAGCTCCCAACTCAAACAATTATGTATGCGTATTTTTGTAAGTGCTTTTGTAAGTGTATTTTTGGGGGTCTGAAACAGACTAATCTAATTTACATTATTCCTTATGGGAACAAATTCGTTCGGTATCGGCACTCGAACAGCCTTCAGGAACGAATTAAGTTCGTAACTCAAGGTACCACTGTATTACTTATACACAATTTGCTTACCTAATTATTTATTGGTGTCATTAATGTGAATATTTTCCTCTCCTCTCTAGACAAAAAAGTGTGACTTAATTACTAACAGGCAACTATTCTATTTGCAGGAGTCACAATGGGTATAAGCCGCAGCTTCATTCTAACCTTAGGAACGGGAATGTTCTGCGGTTTCTTCTCCTTCTATCTCTTAAACAGCACTGTAACTGTGCACCCTCGCTACATAGAGGGCATTAGGTAAAAGGCACTAACAGGTGATGGTTTACACAGGATGCAAATTACAAAGTTTGTTTAATTTTTTGATGTAATGTGTAAAAACAATTAAATACAGAAGTACATTACTGTATAGTTAGTACAGCATTTTCATGGATGAAAACATTCTTTATAGATATGTAATTGATGAGAGAGCATAACACCAGAAACTTTGTGATTTGTACCCACAACTAGTTTGCATTTCTTATATATTTGATTTGGTGATTGGTATATATATTGTATGTCATTAGACTTTCAACCATAATTATGGTCATTATACTGTATCACAATGATTAAATTTGTTGGCTTCGCACGTAATCTGCTTTCACTGGTGTAGTATGCACTTTTTAGTGGGCTAACTTATGAATGGCCAGAGTTATGAATATCCACACTAACAAACAGGACACTTGGACTAAATATTAGTTGTGTGAGTGCTGATCCATGGTTTCAAATACTGTACATGTGAGATATAGCCATCCTTTGCATTACAGTTCTCAGTGGGAAAAATAGGCAGAGAATTACAGACATTGTGCTTATAAGTTGAAATACTTGGAATACAACTTGTTTGTAAGTTTTTTGACTCTATTTAATATTAAAAATGGTATTGTGTAGTAATGATGCAATTATTAATCTTAATTCCCTATCTGAGATACATCAGTTATTTTAACATACTGTAGTGTGATAGTATTTACCTGTATTTTTGTATGGGTTAATTTGAATGGTGTTTATTTAATCTAGTTTTGCTTGTAAGTATATTAGTGCTACTTTTGTTAAAAATTATGAATAACACTTTTTAAATCAAGAACTTCCTTGCTTCTCTTAGATGCCTTACTTTACCTACCTTTTTTTTTTTTTTTTTTTTTTTTAATTTTGAGAGATTTTGGAGCAAATGCCATATATGCTTCAGTATAGGTCGAGGCTTTAACAAATTTTTAAGCAAAAAAGCGAGGGTCAATATATTCATGAGTAATATTTTTGAGAGGTTGAAATTCTTTCATATTGAGGGGTCTGTCACACACCAGATTCCTACTTCTTTGGTGCATCATTTGCACTTCCTGCCCTTGTTGTTCACAGTCTACATAAACAACATAGACGAGGGGATAAATAGTGACAAGTACGTAAGTTTGCCAATGATGCTAAAATAGGCTGTCATAATTTCTGATGAGAATTATACAGAGGTACAGGATAATTTGGATATGTTCATGTTAGGGGTGGAGAAATGGTAGGTTCAGTTCAGTGCAAACAAAATGGTTGGTTTTAATCCTAGGAAAAGAAAATAACTGGTACTTATGGGCTACAAGATGTAAATCTTTGTCAAACTGAATGCAAAAAAAGATTCAGGAGTTATGGTTAGCATTCTTGATATGGTTCAGGATTGCTTTTAACCCTTTCAGGGTCCGTCCCGTAGATCTACGGCTTTACGTTCAGGGTCCAAACCGTAGATCTACATCATGAGCTCAGCTCACTCTGATAAACTGTGAGTGGTACATTTGGGCCTAGATATGAGAGAATACAGCTATGTGGTATGTGTGCACCACATAAAACAGATCCTGCAGCACACTGTGTATAATGAGAGAAAAAAATTGAAATCATGATTTTTCGATTAAAACAGCGACTTTGCAGTGTTTTTTCGTGTTTTTTTTATAGTTGTATTTGCGATTTCTTGGTCTGATTTGATAGAATGGAAGACATATTACAGAAATAGAGATGATTTTGATTGGTTTTAGCACTGGAAATGGCTTGAAACTGAGCTCAAAGTAGGAGAAATGTTAAATTTTTGCCAATATTCAAGAGTAACCAAACGACCTCACACGTCTAATACACGCCAACTGGTGGGTCTAATATGCATTCACAAATATGGTGATGATATTTATACAGTTATTACAGTATTGCATAACAGTAAATCTACTTTTTGGTGTGAATAAAAATTCATTATGTGAATAAAAAATCAAAATGGAATTTATTTGTAAAGCCTCAAAACATAACTAATGAACAGAGGAAATGTTAGTATAGTTCCAGGAATACCTATATTGTTTATTCTGGACCCTATTTTGAAATTGGAATATTTTGAACTTTGTGTTAAATTGGCCAAATTAACAATTTCCGATCACTTTAATTTGTAGTTGAAAGAGTTGACTTGGCGATTTCTTGTGCTCAATCGATAGAATAGAAGTAATACTAGTGAAATAGCTAAGAATTTGGTTGACCGGAGTAATGTAATTGGCCTAAAATGGGAGTCAAAGTCGGCAAAATAGCCAATTCGTAAATATCGCTGACACATCAAAATTCGCGAGAGCATAATTTCGTCAATTTTCCATCAAATTTCGTACTTTTTGTTTTATTACCTTCACAAAAAGATTCTCTACGATTTCATAAGAAAAAATAAAAATTTTTTTTTTTTGAAAATTCTTGGACACTGGGGCACCACTTCAGATTTGGGCCTTGGACCCTGAAGGGGTTAAAACAGTTTGTGACAGAACCAACTAGAGGAAACAATCTGCTTGACTTGGTTCTTGCCACCAAAGATTCACTAATTAATAATCTTGAAGTTGTAAAGTAAAAGGACACAAGTGCAATTAATGTGACATTTTATTGTGGCAACGTTTTGCTCTCCAGGAGCTTTATCAAGCCATTAATGGGTTGATAAAGCTCCTGGAGAGCGAAACGTTGCCACAATAAAATGTCACATTAGTTGCACTTGTGTCCTTTTACTTTACATATTGTCGGTAATTCTACCAACTTTATTACAATCTTGAAGTTAATGATGAGCTTGGGGAAAGTGATCACAAATCACTTGGTTTCAATATATTATGGAATTACCCAGTAAACTGTAATCAAGTCTCTGTCCCAGACTTCTGCTTGGCTGATTTCATAGGACCAAGAAAATACCTGGGTGGGCTAAATTGGGGTGACCTGACTATAGGTCAGGTAGGTGATGTTAGTTGCCAATATGGCATTTTTCAGTGCATAGTTCTATTTGCTCAGACAACTTTTGTTCCACGTAGGGAAATTAGATCCAGCAAAAATGATCCCAAATGGATGAACAATAGATTAAATCATATTGGTCAAAAGAGAGGCATACATAGGCATATCAAAAGAGGGTAAGGGCAGTTAAGAAATCAATATAGTCAATTAAAGAGAGAAATAAAAAAAGGAATAAGAAAAGCAAAAAGGGATGATGAGGCTAAGGTCACAGGGGATTTGAAGACTAACCCAAAAGGGTTCTTTCAGGTATACAGAAGTAAGATTAGAGACAACATAGGCCCACTTAAGAGTAGCTCAGGTCAGATCACTGACAGTGATAAGGATATGTGTGAAATTTTCAATACCTACTTCCTCTCAGTTTATTTAGCCCAGAAATAATAAATTATGTAGAACAGGACGATAATAAACTATGCACATGGTCCTCAGACAAATAGAGAAATTAAAACCTAACAAATCCCCAGGTCCTGATGAGTTATTTGCAAGGGTTTTAAAGGCATGTAAAGAGGAACTTAGCAAGCCTTTGGCTAATTTTTTTAACACATCATTACAAACTGACATTGTGCCTGATAAGTGGATAATGGCAAATGTAATACTTATTTACAAGGCAGGTGACAGGTCCTTAGCTTCGAACTATAGACCAATAAGCCTTACCTCAATAGTGGGAAAATTTATGGAATCAATAATCGCCGAGGCAATTCGTAGCTATCTTGAAAGGCATAAATTGATAAATGAATCTCAACACAGTTTTACTAAGGGGCATTCCTGTCTTACGAATTTACTAACTTTTTTCGCTACAGTGTTTGAGGAGGTAGATCATGGTAATGAATATGATATTGTGTATATGGACTTCAGTAAGGCTTTTGATAGAGTTCCACATCAGAGGCTGTTGAGGAAACTTAAGGCACACGAAATAGGAGAAAGTTTTTCCTGAATAGAGGCATGGTTGACAAATAGGCAGCAGAGAGTTTGCATAAATGGGGATAAATCAGAATGGGGCACATCACAAGTGGTGTTCCTGAGGGGTCAGTGTTGGGTCCGTTGTTGTTCACAATTTACACAAACGACATAGATGAGGGAATAAATAGCGACATAAGCATATTTGCTGATGACACCAAAATAGGCCATCCAGTTCATTCTAATGAGGACATTACTGCACTCAGGATGATTTGAAAAGACTGATGCTGTGGTCAGAGAAGTGGCAGATGCACTTTAATATAGACAAATGCAAAGTTCTAAATGTTGGACAGGACAATAACCATGCCACTTATAAACTGAATAATGTAGATCTTAATACTACTGATTGCAAAAAGGATTTAGGAGTTCTGGTTAGCAGTAATCTGAAACCAAGACAACAGTGCATAAGTGTTCACAATAAAGCTAACAGAATCCTTGGCTTCATATCAAGAAGTATAAATAATAGAAGTCCTCAGGTTGTTCTTCAACTCTGTATATCCTTGGTTAGGCCTCATTTAGATTATGCTGCACAGTTCTGGTCACCGTATTATAGAATGGATATAAATGCACTGGAAAACGTGCAGAGGAGGATGACAAAGCTAATCCCATGTATCAGAAATCTTTTCTATGAGGATAGACTGAGGGCCCTGAATCTGCACTCTCTAGAAAGCGTAGAATTAGGGGGGATATGATTGAGGTGTATAAATGGAAAACAGGAATAAGTAAAGGGGGATGTAAATAGCATGCTGAAAATATCCAGCCAAGACAGGATTCACAGCAATAGTTTCAAGTTGGAAAAATTTAGATTCAGGAAGGACATACGAAAGCACTGGTTTGGTAATAGAGTTGTGGGTGAGTGGAACAAACTCCCATCATAGAAGCTAAGACCTTGTGTAGTTTTAAAAATAGGTTGGATAAAAACATGAGTGGGTGTGAGTTGGACCTGACTAGCTTATGCTACCAGGTCCGATGCCATGCTCCTTCCTGAAGTGGAAGTGATCTGACTAGGTGGTCATTGTTCTAAGCCGGGGGGGGGGGGGGGGGTG